AAAAATAACCATGGCAACAGATGGACGAAAATGAGAAGAGGAAGAACAGTCTAAGGTTTTGAATTTGTGTGGCTGAGTAGATTATGCTGCCACTTAAATGAAACAGGGATATTGAGAGGAACCAGGAACTAGAATCCAAGTCTACACACATGGAGACAGCAGATCCTCCATAATGCTGGAATCAGGCTGCAAGGGTTCCCAGGCAGTGACAAGGACAAGAAAAATAATGCAGTCCTGCAGGTCATCTTGCCAGTGTTTAGGACCCAACAGGGTCCCTGCAGAAAACAGAAGGCACACTCGGGTGAGAGTCTGAGGTTATTTAATTAAAGGACTATTTATAAGGAAACAAGGGGTGTTGAGATATCAAGCATAAATAAAGTAGAAAACTGTTACCTGCTTTAGGCTTGAAGAGGGGCAAGGGCTGTTTTGCAGCCAGGTGCAAGCCAGAGTTGTGAAGGAGGGTGAACCTAGCTGGAGCAGGAGTCAAAGACCATCACTGCCAGAACCACAGGGCCGAAGTAGGGGAAAGAATATTTGGCCTCTCTCCTTCCACCCTCTGACCTTCTGCTGTTGCTTTCCATTGACCCAACTCAAACAAAAAAAAAGAAGACAAAGGAACCAGAGTGATGTAATCGCTAGGGGTCAGCTTTCTGGGGCACAGAGGAAAAAAAGGGCAGAGAACGAACCTGGGGAGGGAGGCAAAGGAGAATAACTAGCACAGCCCTTTCCAGTCAATAGCCTGTTCTTCCTGATGTTCCTGAAACCACACAACTGTCCCAGGCCTATTTCTATAGAATGACTGGTGTCTGTGCCCACGCCATGACTGACTTGATATAAAGGATGAGCTGGGCAGAGTGGATCTACATAAGTTGTCAGGGAAGGGATGAGGCTGTGGTAAGGTTGGCTGCTTACCTGTTTTCCTTTGGCCCACAGGAAATTCATACCCAGCCAATGCAGAACTCTCCCTGGAGCAAGAACACCGTCTCAGGAACAACCTCATCTGAAGCCCTCACTGCACGCTCCTAGCTACTGCCGATAACCAGATACCTCAGCTTACTGGAGCCATGCCCTTCACAGTCCCAACTCAGAGGAAAAGGGCCAGTGCCACGGGGCACCAAGAACCTGCTCAGGAAGCCTTTTGATGGCAAGATCACCAATCCAGATGGTACTGCTTCTTCAGGGTGGCACTGGGCCTACCCCCTAAGGGCCTGGAATATGGCTTCCGGGCTTTGCTCAGCTGAGCTCCTCTTCTATAAGGAAACCCAGTCATCCCTGAATCTTGCCACAGAGATGCGGGGTTCAGGAGCTTTCAGTTCTTTAGGGATGGACTATGGTCCAGTCCCCCATCTAAGTGGTGCTTTGCAAATGTCTTGGAGGAGTATAGGACACAGTACCAAAATACACAGCAGGTAGTGTTAGCTCTCTGCTAGGAGCTCAAAGCAACACAACTTGTATCAAAATCACAACTGGCAGAGAAGCTGGTGGATCCAATCCTTTCTTCATCTGTTATTATTTACAACTCACCTCTCACACTCTGTTCTTTAGTGTCCTTACCTTTATCCTACCACACACATGGGTGTTTCTATTATCCTTGGAAGCACAGACCTCGGGCATCCCCTTATTGCCTGATGGGCCAACACCAACAGTTACTGAGTGCTTGAGAAGGGGCAAGTTTCACAGAAATGGCCAGATAGGGCCTTCCTACAGAGCAGCAAGAGTAGGCCAAGCAGAAAGACTGCTGAGGTAACACGGATCCCAGGCCCTGTCAGGGCCTCTGCCAAGGAAAAAATATGGACGATTTACCTGGCAGGCAGTCTGATCTCTCAGGATCACCACGCATCTCAGGATTGGTCTAAGCTTCAAGTCCCAACCAAGTGTCTGAAGTGAACTTTGCATTGAATAAATTTTTGCCGTGGAAAGAACATCAAACAAGCTACTCATCTCTATGGAGATATGAAAACAAGTCTGGCAGAGTGAGAGACAGAAGACCATGGAGAAATCAGAAGGGGGAACAGTCAGTGTAGTTAAGGATGGAACCTGGGAAAGGCCACCATTCCTGCTTGATGGGGCTGTGATTTCTCTCGCTCAAGTAGAATAAAACCCCATGGTCTTCTTGACATGATTCTTGATCTTTTCTCCACTGAGACAAACTTTAGTGATGATCCTTACAGGACTGACACCCTAATGCCAAAAAAGGTTGCTCATTATGGACTGCTACAAAGACCAGACCAGCTGTGATTATGTACACGCCCCAAAACCACAGTCCTACCCTTTTCCCTCCCACAGAGCCAGGGCCTGGGATGCACAGGGCACACACGCTTTTCATGACTGCCCATCTACATTTCTCCAATCAGACATAAGTCTGCTTCCCAGTCAGCCTCCCCAGGCTCAGAGCTGAAACACAGGTCAGAAAGGTTAAGGGGTGAACGATAGGGACAAGAAGGTAAAGTCTGAGGATTGTAAACTTTTATAATCAAGGCTGCAAAGCCAAACTAAATGGTAGCAGATGGAGCAGATTTACAACAGCACTACCCCCACCACATCACAAGAGCCACCACATCACAAGAGCCACCCCCTCCTTAGGGAGTAAAAAGGGACATGTTCTGGGGAACCCTCTGTGAATACAAAGAAGTGCTTTCTTCCTTCTCCCCGACCTTACCTCTCCTCAACTCCCTCGTCTCCTTCATTAGGCAGAGGGAGCATTATATTTTGGCATGACAGTTTAGGTAAACAAGGGAAGGACTGATTTCCTGTTGGATCCAGCAAGCATCCCCCAAACAGTAACAACATTATGCTCACACATGCAGCTAATGGTCTGTGAAAGAATGTGCAGCTAGCAGGGGAGCATGTGGTGACTGATGACTAGATTCAGGCAGGGAGGTTACCCGCCGCTGCTTGCTGGATTCAGTTTCTAAGAGGGCCCAAAAAAGCAGGCCAGGCAGCCAGCCACCGGCTCTGGTCTCGGCCTTGCTGCCACATCACACGTTTGATAGGTGCAGTCAGTTCTAATTCTTGGAAAAGGCCATACAAGGGTTGTGCTGTTACAACTCTGAGCTGAAAGGGAAGGACATGGGAAGACTGGTGGCTGGCATGACTTATAACTAGATGAGGAATGTTAACAGAATACCAACCACCAAATTCCAGGCAGAACCAAAAATGTCAGAAGACTTTCACCTCAGTATACTTTAGCCTCAGAGACACTAAGGTGCTAAAAATGTCAGCTTACTCTTCAGAAGCCTAACTTACCTTTATTCTACAAAGACTTTCACTCTATGAAGAGCATATCAGAACTCATGGGAAATGTACTTTTCTACTAAATTCCAGGTAATCCTGAGATTTGGATGTTCAACACATATGCACAGCAGAGTACATTAGCTATCTTCCTGAGTATTTAACAAGGGCGCCAGTGGCAGCTACAGAGTGCTCTCCAGCTAACTCGTCTTGAGAAAGCATGGCTTGGATGTGCCCAAGGATTTATTTCCCATCTGGAAAAGCTCAATATAGTCTGTGCTGGGTCACAGCAGGAGCTCTTACCTCCAGCTCGCATACATCAATCCCAACTGCTTGAATAATGTAACTAAAAAGCACATTCTCTACTAATGGTAGAAGCAGCAACACTCCATAATTTTCAAGTGTAGGTGAAAAAAAAAAATCCTTTCTCTGGGTCTGGTTATAAGGATAAATCTGAAAGAGGTGGCTGACTATTGGCTGAAAAACAGGATAGACTACTAGCATACAGCATTAGAATGAGAACCAAAGTAAGTTACTGAAATTATGAAGATTACAAGAAAACTGGGAAATAAACATGGGGCTATATGTTACCACTAACAATGCCTTTAAAAGCTAAAGTGTAGCCAGAAAGAGGCATCCTCACAGACAAGTGACAGGAGTAGTCATCTCTTTTGTACTGCCCAAGGTCACTCTTGGCCTTGAAGAATCAAAATAGAGCAAAGGTATAACTCAGAGGTATACCATTCAGTATGAAGTCAGGCTACAATTCCCTGCATTTCCTTTCAAATGGGGCCGTACTGTTCAAACAGAACTATCTTAGAGAAGTCTGTTCCATAAAGACAAAGAGCAGAAGTCTTGTTGCTAAAAGCCAAAGAGAGGGGCACCTGGACAAAGTATTAGTGGAGAGGGTCAAGAGAACAACTTTAAATCTGGAATGGAGTCACTGAACATGAACAAAGGACACTAGTAGAACTGACCACGAATGAGGAAAACAATGCTGAGGAACTGGGAGAAGGCTATAATATCTCAATAGCAGCAGGCATAGTTGGGTAAGGATCAAGATCCAAGGCTAGTGTCATTTGAGAAACATCTGAATAGAGCCCTACTCCACCATGTTCTAGATAATGCTAATAATCCATCATTGTCATGGGCACTAAATCATTAAAACATGAGGCTGTTGCCCTAGTTGAAAGCACAATGAGCCACTATTTCTTGCCACCTCGGCACCCTAAGGTCTAGTGCTACCATTTCTTCAGCACGGAACTACTTTCCAAAAACACTGAGAATGCAGATATGAGATGGACAAAGCCTGAGTTGATGGCTTTGACTTGTCCACATCCTTTAGGAAATCTCTCAGTGCCCAGAGGTGTTTATTTTATCCTGGCTGCTTGTCATCGTAATGGATGGTCTGGTACTGCTTGCCAAGTACCTCTGGCATAGGTTGAGAAGATCATACCAAGAACACGCTGGCGTGCCACATGTCTTCTTCAGGGTATCAGAGTTGCAGAGATGGCAGAAGGCAAGAAAAAGGTTGGAATGAGGGTGCACAAGGAAGATATGAAGGGGAGAGGAGCTACTAGATACCAGTCCCAGGATAATCACTTTTGTACTATACTGAGGCAGAGAGATGATCAATTCTCTACTCACTGGGATTCAAGAAAAACAACAGATCCATTTAACCTATGCACAGCATTATAGGCATGAGGATAAGAAGAAAGCTCCTCTCCTATTTCTTGTTGGAATGACAAAACCCAACAAACGCCACAGTGATATGTCATAAAATGGGCTTTAATGTCCGCTCTTACAACATGGTATTACTGCTTACACTGGAACTGGCACACAGCTCCCAAGGTTGGTTTACTCTGAGGAATGAAGCTGGCATCCCCCCTGGCTGCAGTACAGCTGGAACGGTCCCAGGCACTGAGCTCAGTATAAACTTTGGAGTCTAACCACCCACATCACCAACTTTGGAGTTCTGGAACCAGCAGTGTAGATTCTGTGTAGGCCAAGTAAACCAGACATTGTTCTGTCTCTTTGTACTAACCACTCTCTATCCACCCCCTACTCTGCCTCCAGTATTATTCTGTTTTGTGAGGTACTAAGGAATGCTCTGCCTTTGCATGGCCTAAATCTCCCGTTCTTGCGGTTTGAATCCTCTGCTCTATTTTGCATTTGCTTTAAATATCTTGGAAGTGTGACCCACACTAACATGACTTGCCCTGTCCAGGGGACTCCTGGAATTCACATCTCCCACGTTTCTTCCTAGTTGATGGCTCCCTACTATGCCCATCATAGTAGGGTGATTCCAAAGAACTGCATTTAGGAGTAAAGATAGGAGTCTGTCTTCCTTCTATACCCAGTCAGTCCTTGTCTCGATCACTTTATCTCTTTAACATGCACATCTGCATGTACACAGAGCTCTGGAAGGATCCTCTTATCTGAAGACTATGGAAACATTTTCTGATTCATGGAATTATCCTTTTCATTGAGTGATGTTCAAACTGCAGACTGGTCTCTGCCTTCCCAGATGTCTTCTCGTTGCTTGGCTTCCAACCGCTTTCTCTCTGTAAATAAGAGCAGTGTTAACCATGGTTGTCTATTTCATATAATCAATGACTTTCCCTTAATCCAAATTACAAGGCAAACTTTCGTCATGAGACAAGTGGATATCTTGGTCTCTCTTACCTGATTCCAAGAGTTAATTCCTTTAACTTCCTAAGTGCTTTGTAAGTGAAAATGATACTACTATAAGTCATTACATTTATTACTATATAATAAAAAATATCTGAGGCTAATAGAAGTATATGGAATAAATCAGAATCTAGTAGGACTCAGATTCTAGTCTTGCTAATACATATTTAAATTCTACTTTTCAACTATGTTTAGTGCTTCAACACAATTGCCCATTATTCCCAGCTTACTGATCTTTATAAATATTTCAATAGGTATCAAGGATATGTATTGATATTCTATTTTGTTGCTTAAATGGAAATGGTAGCCCCTGGGCTTTACTCATATCTCCCCTCTACAACTTTATTGAAAAAATATTTCAGAGGTAAACCAAATTTCAGTATTTTCAGAGCACTTCCAGGAGCCAGAAATCTTCTGGAATATACAATTACAATATGGAAAACTAAAAGTATTTCTAAAAACAAAAAATATACAAATTTGGATAATCTATCTTCAATTTTTAATATGGAAGCTTGGTTCTCCATTTAACACTTTCACCAAGGTCTGAGAAAATACGGACCATACAACAGTCTGGTGACTCAAGCACTCTTTTAGGTGCCACAATACCAGTTCCAATTGCATGGCTAGTCATTTATCTTGAAACCATAAAATGGTGATAAGCCTACATGATCGATGGTAAGCCTAAATGTTTCCTTCTTATTGTTCCAAATTGATAATGCCTGTATAAGATTCAGCAAGTCATGAATCAGGGAGATTACAGAAATCGAGATGAATTTAGAATAAACACTTGCTATTCTGATATATCTTTCCTCATCAGCAGAATCCCTTACAACATTCCTACCCTATATCTGACTATACTTTAAGGGCAAAGAAGTTGGTTATGAAGCTGACTGGCACTTGGAAATATGAGAAAAAGAAATTCACTGCTATTTGGGCACCATCTTGTGGCATTATCTGAATATAGCAGCAAAGTTGAGCCAAAAACAGTGGTCTGCAAATTGCAAACTGAATGAAGGCTGGTAGAGTGCCTTGGAACTGAGGCAGACTTGAACTGCACTGGGGTTCCCTAGGAGACACAAAGGATAACTGGCTGGTCTAAAGGATTCCAGAATTTCTTAGGAAGGCAGCATGGTCTTGATTCTTACAAACATGGAGAAGTTAGGAGGGGATCTAAAGGCAATGGATGAAAGCAATCAAAATCTGGTTCTATATCCCAAGGAAAAATGAAGAAACCAGAAAAGTAAATTATTAGAACTCCAATTTTTCAATAAGGTGTGAAACTTAAATCATAAGAGTAATATGAGAAGACGGAAGAGATCCAAGAGCAGTAGAAAAATATGACTGCCCATAACACACAATTCCAAAATCAAAACAATTCTGAAAACAAAGTTATTGCTTTCTTTAAAGCTTGGGGCCAAAATTAATTGATGGAGGCAAATCTAACCTGAAAGGATACGAAGCCATTTATAGTCTTAACATATCCCATTTAATGTGAACAGTCACACACTCTGCTGCAGAAATATTAATGTGTCTTGATTTTGGTGTTATAAGACACAGATACCATATTAGCTTTCTAAAATCTGGAAAGTTCAGAATTCTGAATTTTTTTTTTTTTTTTTTTTTTGGAGATAGAGTCTCACTCTGTCACCCAGGGTGGAGTGCAGTGGTGTGATCTTGGCTTACTGCAACCTCCGCCTCCTGGGTTCAAGCGATTCTCGTGCCTCAGCCTCCTGAGTAGCTCTTGAGTAACAGGCATGTGCCACCATGCCCGGCTAATTTTTTTGTATTTGTAGTAGAGACACGGTTTCGCCATGCTAGCCAGGCTGGTCTTGAACTCCTGAGTTCAGGTAATCTGCCCGCCTCAGCCTCCCAAAGTGCTGGGATGATAGGCATGAGCCACTGTACCCGGCCTGAAACATTTCCTAACACTTTCTAATAAAAGTAAGTAGATTCTAATGGTAAGCCATATGAAAAAACTAGTAGGAGTAGGAAGACAAATTGAGAAGCACAAAGAAATAGTGAAAATGGGAGGTGTAAATTTAGAAATACAAGAACATGAATAGAATAGAGAAATGTAGGTCAGGATAGGAAATAATAATTTCTTTATTTTAAAGACAAGGAAACAGAAGCTCGGAGAGCTGAAATGACTTGCCTAAGGTTACACAGCCAGTGAAAGAACTGAATCTAGGACCCAGATCCTTAATTCTTCACCAACACACCTTCTACTATCCTGACATCTGAAATATCTACAAGGGAAAAAATACGAAAAAAACTATATGAACAGAAAGACAAAGAAACATGTCCCTTTATTAAAGAGAAAGGAAAGCAGATAATAGCTGATAAACTGCATGAAAGAAAGCTCCTACTAACTTGACCTCCAATAATTAAAAGAATCAATCAAGAGAAAGCCCAACAGTAGACATGAGGGCAAGGAATTAAGAAAAAATAGAAAATTCAGCACAAAGTGATTGATCTAAAACATTCACATCGGCTGGCCCTGAAAACTTTCATTCTCCAATATAATAAATCAATCAACAGAAATGACTATATTAAATGAGCTGCCTGCAATCACAGTGCAGTCAAGACTTTACATAAGAGAATATGAAGCACTGAAGATTGTAAAAGGGCCAGTTTGGTGTCATGTTTTAAAAAAAGCAAAGACAGAGGATGTAAATTAAAGACTTTCAAAATTTACTTCCAGGTCTAGGTCTATGAAAAATAATCACAAAATCTACTGTAGTCACCTACAGAATAAGAGACAACATGCTTCATGAAGAACACGTCTGGTCAAACGAATCTTATTCCCTTCTTTTATAGAGGGACAGATGTAGTAGCTCAAGGAGAAGTAATCTAACCTCTTAATTTTAGCAAAGTTTTAGATTTTAAGTTTACCAAATATTTATATAATCATAATATATGGAAAAATACAGTCTGAATCCAATAAGGGGGCATTTAACTCTAGAGTGTGGAATAATTATCAATGTATTAAGTGTCAACACAAGGAACCATGTACTATTTATTTTAGCAACAGCTGGTGACTTGGTCAGTTAGTTAGTCCTAGGTTAACATTTTCATCTCTGATCTAGGCAAAGGTAGTAGGTTTAATAAACAGCAATTGACACCAAAAAATGAGTAAATGCTACATCACAGAAAAAAAGTTGGCTTTAAATTGAAAAAAAAAAAATGTAGTTAGAAATGAACTTCAGACATCAGGGGAGAAAAGACACCAAGAAAATACCCTAAGACCTAGATTATGAATCAGCAATGCCGCACTGCCCTTTAAGGCAGAGTAATGGAAAGTCTAAAAAGGGTTTTCATAAGGTATCAACTATGATTAAATTTATTACTATCTTATAGAGATGGTTTGAAGTTCTTTGTGATTTAATTAATTAAACTAGGTAAGCAGATTACTATTTACTTACTTTGCCTTTCAGGCCTGTGACCCAAAAGATGGGCTTTCAGAACCAGCCAATTAATCACCTACCTTCAAGAATAAAATGAAAATAAATAAAATTATAGCGGGCTTTGAAAATAAGAAGGTAGCTTATTCTGAAAGGTAATGATATCTATGTCCAGTTTTAGGTGGGAATCAAATATTTGTATGAGTGGAACATGGGAAAATTGTATATACATTCCTGAGTTTGGTCTTTATTTTGTTTTTTATTTTTTTGAGATAGAGTCTTGCTCTGTTGCCCAGGCTGGAGTGCAATGGCTCAATCTCGGCTCACTGCAACCTCCGCCTGCCTCTCAGGTTCAAGTGATTCTCCTGCCTTAGCCTCCTGAGTAGCTGGGACTACAGGTGCATGCCACCACACCCGGCTAATTTTTCTATTTTTAGTAGAGACAGGGTTTCACCATGTTGGCCAGGCTGGACTCAAACTCCTGACCTCAGATGATCCGCCTGCCTCAGCATCCCAAAATGCTGGGATTACAGGAGTAAGCCGCCATGCCCAGCCCTGAGTTTCATCTTTAAAATGTGGTTTTAGGCTGGGCACAGTGGCTCAGGTCTGTAATTCCAGCACTTTGGGAGGCCAAGGCAGAAGATCACTTGAGTCCAAGAGTTTGAGACTAGCCTAGGCAACATAGAGAGACCCTATCACTACAAAAAGGAAAAAATTAGCCGGCATGGTGGCACATGCCTGTAGCCCCAGCTACTCAGGAGGCTGAGGTGAAAGGATTGCTTGCACCTGGGAGGTTGAGGCTGCAGAGAGCTGTGATCGTGCCACTGCACTCCAGTCTGGGTGACAAAGTGAGACCTTGTCTCATAAATAATCAAAGTAGAGTGAAAAATGTAGCAGAAAAGTACTTAAAACTCAAAATCACGAATTCAAAATTCATTAATTAGGAAGGTTTCACACTCTAGGTTTTATAAAGAAAAACATGGAGGGCTTAGCATTCAGAATAGAGTCAAGATTTACAAAGAAAAATTAGAGTAACCAATGTCATCCATGTATTTGGTCAATGAACATGTATTGAGTGTCTTTTTATGTACCAGGCACTGTTGCCAGACAGCAGAACTATTCAAGTGGGAGAAAGAAAGGCTGGGAGATTATCATACCATATTATAACAGGAAGATATACAGATTTCAATTCCCATGCTAATTCTGATCCCTTGGCAATGGTCATGTAAAACTCACCAAGAATGTCATGACTGATTTAACAATATCTGCCATGTGTAATGGATGAAGAGTAGCAGTATATAATACATATTTGTTATTACAAGCTCATATTATAATGAACATTAAATTCTTAACAGTCATATCAATAATCGTATCCTGAATTTGTAAAGCACTTTACCAAACATTTTTACATATGTTAACTTATTCTGTACTCAAAACATTCTCCATGATTAGGTAGGCTGAGGAGTACTTGCACTTTGCTGGAAACCAGGGGGTGCAGAGAGGTATCTGACTCGCCCATGGCCACACAGCTAGGCAATGGCAAAAGCTCTATTAGAGCCCAGATTTCCTCATTTCTAAACAATCTGCCCCTGATCTTTATAGTTAAAGTTGTTAGAACAAAACGGTACACAGATATTCTCTATTTCTACTAAGGAAAAAACAAGAGGACACTGGTTTAAACTATCATGCAGATTTAAGTCAGACCTAAGGAAGATTTTTCTGAGAGTGAAAAGCTGCTAACCATTGGTACAGATAATAAAGAAGTTTGTCATATTTTATTCCTGGAGACTTTAAAAAATGTTTTATGTAAGTATTTTTTTCTGGGAAAAAATGTCAGTAACTCCAAAAGTCCTTCAAGAGGGATTACAGTATTACAGAAGAAGCATGGGTTTTATTAATCAGCGGTACCTAGATTCAGATGCCTTCTCGTTCAGTTTACCAGCTGGGTGACTTTAGGCCAGTTACTTAACTTCTCTGGGTCAGCTCTAAACTCAAGATGGTATCATTGGTCACAGAGTTATCATAACACAGAATCATCATAACCTGTAAGTTATGATGGAGTTTCCTTCCTGTCCTTTTAATCAACAAAAATCATTTATGGTTTTTAATCTTAAAATCTACAGAACTGAAGTGAGAGGAAAAACAACTGCTTAAAATGCCCAAAAGAGGAACATATTTTCTTCCCTACTCAAGGCAGATTATCTCCACTAGATTGTAAGGCTTAAGGAGAGGAACAAAATCTTGCCACCTTTCTAATTCTCCTAAATAGGGAACACAATGCTTTGCACAGGGCAGGTGCTCAGTGAATGCCACATGGAGCTAATAGACGATTATAGGAATTTTAAAATAAAAAGAGTAATTAATGACAAAAGTATGCACTGAAATCTGTGCTGGATTCACCATATAATGATACTACTGTTATTACTAACAAAAACAATAGCAGCTAACACTTATCATATAACTCATTATAGGCCTGCAGAAACAGGAGCAAGAGAGTACCTATGGTTTTTTGAAGATGACTAAGTATCCTTCATGGATTAACTCGCTTGAGTTCCATTTAAGTCTGAAAAAACAGAGGCCTCCAGAGAGTAAGTAAGTCACTTACCTACCCTCTCAAGGTCACAGAGACAGTAAATGGCAGACCTAAGATGTGGACCCAGGAAGTGCGATTCCAGAGTCTAATACCTAAAACAGTAAAGTTTCTACCGAAAAAAAATCTTTAAAGCCTGGGCTCCATGCAGGCAAGCATATAAGTATCTGCCCCACACAGAAAGAGGCCAGAAAGAGATACATCAGGAAATTTTCCAGATGCATTTCCTCAGATACAAAGAATGGTAGCACTCTGGAGCATAATAAAGGAAGAGTCCTCTATAATCCATACAGCCTCAGCACCAATAGGTAGGAGGAACTTATCACAGTGGGTCTCTATTCACAAATAAAGGCCTTCTTTAGGAAAGCAATAGAGTACCCACTTAGTCAACAGTCTCAATTTTAATTGCATCACTGAAATGTCCTTTGTATAGCCAGACATTTAAAACAAATACTTCAAGTGGAGCTGCATGCTGATGCGCCTAGAGAAAGAGAAGGGAATACTCAAGATGATATCCACGCAAAACCACTGTTGCAGGATCTGTAGAGATACAGGTGATATACACCCACAGAGAAGGATGATAACATGGCAAAGGGAGTCATATCCCTTTTTATAGATATCACTGTCATCACACAGAAATCATCTTCTTCAGAGACAACCAATTAACAAAGGGTTAAGGACACTGCACATTCATCTTTAATCTAGTTCTGTTATTGCCATCTATAAAAACCCAAGGAACCCAGTTATGTTTCTATAGTTCGTAGGAGGCCTTTGAGTAAACAATGATTGGAAAACATCAAAACTGCCTCATTATAGTCATTAAGGTTTCAAAAATTAGTTGGGTTCAACTCTGAAACTCTAGCACTTGCCATGACACACTCTGTCACTGGTTATCTGGCCAGTGCAGCTGAGAGTCTGCAAGCTGCCTGCTATCACCAAAGCAGAGAGGATAGGAAGTATTAATGGCCTTGTTAGGCCAGCAATAAACAAGGAGTTTGAAACTTCAATTCGTTTAATGGAAAAATGAAGTTACTTTTCGGTAAGTGGAGTTTTCAGAATAAATTGCCTTCACAGATTCCAGGGATTGTGGGCTAAGGCAATGAGACTGTCTAAAGCCTGAAGGTTGATAAAAAGTAATTAAGGACCACACCAGAGTCCCAAGCCTTTATATACAATTCAACAGCCTGTAGAGGAGACAGAGAGATTTTAACTTCAACCCCAAACTATAAGAAAATAAAAATTCTGCTTGTGGATCAGGGGAAATATTTTTCTGAGAACGCTTGGATAATGGAAAATAATCAGAAGACAGGTAAATCTAGATGTACTCTAATGGAGCCACTCAGGACTGCCTTAAAAAGACAAAAATACCTCCTACAGTTGTTATCATCAATGTCAGTTGCTGGTTTTTCCTAAATTTGTCTTCTACCTCAGATCTAAACCATTTGATAACATTAGGGCAATATCATGGCAATCGTGGCCCAGTAAAACCATAGCAAATGTTTTCTGCCTAGGACACTATAAGTTTTCACAGGAAAATTTTTCTCAGAGAAAAACTGTAGGAAAAGCCATGGATGGGCTGAGAAGACCAAACATATCTCTTGGAAAACAACAGTAGGAGCGTGGATTAGGACGTCTTGGTGTGTGAAACAGGCAGACAAATCCTGAAACGTCTTCTCCTGAATGTAAGGCATGAGACTTTCTACACACTTAGGAGGCTTCTAGGAAACAGAAATGACAAAATGGAATGGGCTTCATTCTTTTTTTTTTTTTAAACACACGCCTTATAGTGAGCTGTAAAGGGACTAGAGAAGAACGCCATCCTTTCAGCTCACCTCTGGCTTCTTGCAGTTTCTTGAGCTCTGCTTCTCGTTCGGTTTTGCTCTGCTTACTTCGAACCCCAAGGGCACTGATGACTAACCTTCTGGCTAGGGCTGCTGAAGTCTCAGGACGCTCCTTTGCTGGCTGGAGGAACTCTGAATGGAAGAAAGGAAGGGAGTAGGAGGGAGTAAAGAAGAGAGAGCACTCCAGCTTCAAGTGATTTAACTCAGTAATTAACATACAAAATAGACTAACAAGGGCTGCATCAGCAGTAATTAATACAAGCCTGATAGATGACGATCAGAGAAAATTAACATGGCAAAGCACAAACAACCCTGGCTTCATTATCTGCATTAACACAGTATCTTACAGTGACTCTATCAGGCAGTTAAACACAGAGGTAAACTAGGTAGGGATGTCATCAGAAACTGGTTGCTGCATTGCCTGCCATTAGTTCTCAGACTCTCCAAGTGGCCGCTCAGATGCCATATTTCCAACATGGTCATTTCTCTTTTATTTATTTTTTCTTAAAAACATACTTCTTTTAACACTAAAAATAAAAGTGATATGTCTTTAGATGTCTGGATGCTATAAAACTGCTGGAAAGAATAATAATACCACCATCAGCAAGAAAAAACCCTGAGATTATAGACTCACCAGCATAAGCTCTAGCTTTGGCCTTGGCTGCTCTTGTGGCCTGTGACAAGGGACGAATCTTCACCATGGTGTGTTTAATACCCAACGCATCACGAGCTGCAAAGAGGAATAAAAGGAAGCAGAAGACATGAAGTACAGTGATGCAAAGGAACAACTAGGGATGGCTCTTAGTATTTCCTAGATGTTATGCTTTTTTTTTTCAAAGCAAGCAAAAAAGACTAAGATCTAGAGGCAGTAATTATTTTAGATCAGGTATCAGCAAACTATGGCTCTGTGACCAAATGCAGCCAACCACCTGTTTTTATATTTATTTACAAAGTAATTTTATTATTTTACTGAAACAGAGCCATGCCCATTTGGCTTGTATATTGTCTATGGCTGGTTTCTTGCTCCAACAGCAGAGTTAAGTAGTGACAGAGACTGATGCTTCACAAAGCCTAAAATACTGTTTTTACCGTTTGGTCCTTTATATAATAATTTTGCAGACCCATATTCTAGGTGGTTCAGACAGGAACTAACATTTTAATATCTCTATTTTCTTTGAATGCCTCTGCATCAGATCTGTCATGAGGCCAATGATGTATGTAAAAAGGCCCAATCATATATTCAGAGAGTATGTATTATAACTTCTCACTAGACAGGTTAAAGTGTTGCTTAAATTCACTTGTCTGGGATGGGGAAAAAAAAATCACCAGTATTGTAAGAGTTAGCCCCATTGGATTCTTCAATCGCTACCTTAATCTGTTTATGTACTATCACGACAGTTATGTGTACAAATAACCTTGAAAGGTGTTGACTCTATCTCTCCAAATACCACTGGACTAACATGAAAGAGGAGAATGGGTACCAAAGTATCTTACTTCAAAAAAACCACTATCTGTCCTATTACCTACACTGGCTGAATAAAATGCCAACTTTCTCAAATAGAAGGGAAATAGAAAAAGTAGCATGAGAAAATGAACAATAAGAAAGGAAGATTGAAAGCCATTGGGTGAATACCTGTAATTGGACTGGAGAATACTCCTAGGGCATGTGTATCATCCACCCATTTAATATCAAATCCTTTCTTTCTGCAACACACAAAAAAAATTTTATTTCCTAAAATAAAATTTACTTTTATGAAACATCTCACAAATAGAATCTCATAAAGCATTTCACAAGATAGAAACACTCAACGAGTGCACAGGTGGAATGGGGATAATGACACCAAAAACAGCTTGGAGGACAGAAGAAGCCATTGAATTTTAAAAGCAATAATACCATCATAAAGAACTACCCAGGAGTATTTTACGTTCTCAGCCATTTTATAGACATCAACTAATTAATCCTCACAAGTCCCTTGGGGATGTAAAGTATTTAATGCACTATTTACAAGAGACGTTCTTATGGGCAGGGAATGAGAAGAAATGGAAAGAGGAAGCAGAGGAGGGTTAGAATATAAGAAGAGTAGGTAGGCAGGGAAGGTCACCTGGATTTAATGCAAATGTAAACTCTGTCCTTGAGGACAGAGACAGAAACAGAATGCGAGAATGGGGTAGGGGAGATTATACTGCAAGATGTCAATTTTTTTTTTAAAAAGTCAAGTAATGGGGAAAAAAGGGGGCAACTATAATCAGAGAGGCTGATCTGTTCTTCACTTGTTGCAGAAGGGAGGTTAAAAAAATAAGAAAAATATAGGAAAGAATTGTGTGGCAAAGTCAGAAAAATTCAGGATGAAAGAAATCATGATAAGAGAACTATCAGACCAGATTAGAAACGATCAAAAGAATGAACATTTAAGCACTACAGAAACACTTTTATTTTGGAGAAGAGCTACCTAGTGAGCACAAGGAATGTCAGGATGATGACATAACAGTTATATTTTTCAGCTAAGAGCTTAAAAATGCTCATGGACTCAGGGTTCTGCCACCTTGAGACCTTGGGCAAGTTTAACCTCTCTTGAAGCTAGGTTGGCTCATCTGTAAAAATGAGCAAAGTATGTCCCCCACAGAGCTGTTGTGAAAATGGAAATGAGATCATCCATGACAAGGCAAAGAAGATGGTGTTGAGCACTTCATGGGCATCTAATAAATTAATGGTGTTCATTACTTTTATTATTAATAGCAATGTTCATCAATATTAATATTGATGAAGATAGTGATTAAAACATGAAGCTGACTCTGTAATTTGACTCGCAGGCATTATTACAGGCTTTTGCACCATGACCTTTTTTTTTCATTTTTATAAATCACAGATGGGTTCCAGAGGGCCTTTTCTACTTCAAAATTTCATAACCCTTTAAAATTTTTCTCTTTGGAGAATGTTTTTAAGTTTGATAGAAAAATGGTCTTGCAGGTGAGATTATCAAGAAACAAAGCAAAGGGAAGTAAATAGTTTTATAAGAGTTAACTAATCTTCACGAAATTCTAGACATCAACAAAATGATCCTTGGTTTTATGAATCATCATTTATGACAGTCTAAGGTAGTTCTAATGGGACTGGATCCCTCTGACTGCTTTTAAAAAATCTATTATGAATTTTATGTTGAACAGGTTCTGATACTAGATCTAAACCTAATTCTAATAAATAAGACTGACCTACACACTCTACATTTAAAGTTTACGGCAGAGATTAACTGTCCTCCAGGATCCATTCACCCTTTCTTTCTGTTAGTTATAGAACCGATGCTCCCCGCCGAATTACGTTGAACTGATTAAACAAGTACATGGCTGCTGGTTTTGCCTGTTCTAGAACTTCATATGAAAACAGAACACTTGTTCTTATAAATAAAGTTTTAGTTTACAGCCATGCTCATTTATGTGCTGTTTTTGCTTGCTTCTGTTTAACAATGGCAGAGCTGTCTAAAATATTTACTTATCCTTTAAGAGAAAGTTAAGGGCTATACCCTGACTTATAACAGAATCTTACACATTCAAGGTGAGTTTTAAATTTAAATTTGTTATATCACACTACAGACCTGGTTCATTTTAAATATCAGGACTGAAACATTAAAGTATAATCCTTCTTGATACTGATTTTCTTCCAGACCCTGAAAATCTTCTTAATAACTTTCTTTCTAGATTATCATCTCTTTATTCCTGAAGCTTATTTTTTCTTGTAAGCTAAATATACAGAGGTATATACTTCTAACTCTTTTAACGTCTCCTATATAAGTATCAGCTATACACACACCAAGGGTTAGGGCAAGTGTTCTCAAACCCACTTATATCAGTGTGAGTTGATATTTTCACCATGGAATTAAATAAAATTAAACCAATGAAACAGGTGCAGAGCATAAAAAAAAAGAGTTATTGTGTCTGTAAAAACTTAGTTGAGGCCAGGCGTGGTAACTCACACTTCTAATCCCAGCACTTTGGGAGGCTGAAGTAGGCAGATGGCTTAAGTGGAGGAGTTTGAAACTAACCCAGCAACATGGTGAAATCCTGTCTCTACAAAAAAAATACAAAAATTTGTCGGGCATGGTGACACACACCTGTGGTCCCAGCTACTTGGGAAGCTAAGCTGGGAGGATTGCTTGAGCCCAGGAAGTTGAGGCTGCAGTGACCCCAAAAGGCGGCAAGAAAGAAAAAGATGGGACAAGTAAACACATAAAGATGGCAGGCAATTTGACAATACATCCAAATATATCAACAATTACAATAAATATCAATGGACTAAATGCACCATGAAGTCATCACTGATGACAGTCTTCTTAAATGCTAAAATGGGGCTAGAAAGGCTATCTGACATTTTTAAGGAACTTAGAACAGTAGTTTAATATAGAAAGTTTCTACTGGACCTGGAAAAGACAATAAACCAGCCTGATGCTAAAATATGAAAAACAGGGGATATGAAAAACAAGAGATGATTTCTCAGAAAACATTTTTTAAAGACTTCATCTCACACTCCCTAACATCCACAATCATTTGCATACTCACTGATAACTGCAGAAAACCCGTAGAAGGTCTTCAGTACGAAATTCTTGGGGAAAGTCATAAATTTCAATGACATGTGGGAATTCACAATCACTGAGGTCAATATCAGGAACTTCATGGTTGTAGTAATCAAATCTAGGTTCCTGGATGCTCTCTCTGCCCTTCGTATTCCCTGATAACTAGAAAGGAAGAAGCACATAAGTGCTGGTTACATTAAACCTGGCTATTGTAAAATATATTCCTATATATAAACAATCCTCCTCCCTTTCTCTACATGTTCTTATTCCTCAACCTTTGGCATAGTCTCTGTATTAATTCTACTGATAGATACAATAATGATCAGGTGCTTATCACCCAGTTTATACTATACATATGGAACAGTTGAAAAAATGTTAAAATTCCAGCAGACAGGCAATGCATGAAACTCAACTTGCATCTCTAACCAGCACACGAGAAAATACAGACTGAATACTGTGGTGAGTTATAAATGGTACATCTTGGAAACTGATGCTCAGATAATAGCTGAAGAGATTAATTAATAATATTTGTTTTAATTGAGCTTACTGACCAGGCTCATATCATAGTTTCTTTTCTGGAAGTGAACAAAAATGAAGAAAATTAAAAAATAAAAATAAAAAAAACTTTTTTACTTCACTTTTTGTTGAATGTATTAAAGGGTGAGGAGACAGCTTACAAAGACATTTGTTGAGACAAATTAAGTGGTACAAGTAGTTATACTTAATGTCCTTAGCACGAGACCTACCTTAAGGAATGCGCATATAGCAGGCTAGTGAAGGAATTAATAAAGGAGGTAACAAATTAAAATTCTATAAAAAAAGTTGAACTTCACACTGGAAGCAAAAGAAAGAAAACAGGAAAGTGAAAAGTGGCAGCAAAGCCATGACAGTCATTCTGTCATTCACCTGTTATAAAACCTAGACGCTGCTGATGACCCAAAGCCACCAGATCCTTAAGATAATTTTTTTTTCTCTCTCTCTCTGTTAATCAAAAGTTCAAGGAGGTCCCTTCAAGCTTTCTCTGGTTTTAATATTGTGTCTCTTTTCCCATCAACTGAGGAAAATAAGAACTTGCAATGCCAGGAATATACATCTCCTTTCCTTGGAGAAGTTGAAAAATGGATTCAAGAGTTTTTTTGGGAGAAGGAGGAAGATGACTTGGATAATATCAATAAAAACTATTATTTATTCCTGTACTCCAGTTCCTTTTCTCTACTAAGCCTCAGTTTTACATGTAAAACATGGGAATAATAACAATATCTACACTTCATAGATAAGTGCATGGACTAAAGGAGATGATATGGCAAATGCTTAGCATACTGCTTGGCACGTAAGTATTCAGTAAATTCAACCCACTTTAAACCAATTTTAACCAAGCGCTAAGTCTGTTACATGCCAAACCCCATATTAGTTCCACTCTGCTTAGGATGTAGAAAGCAGAAGAGAATGTTCTTCCCACCGTAACAAGAGAAAAGACCAGCTGATCTATAAAATCATAGCTTTTCTTGAGTTTACCAGAGAGCTGAGTTTGTAAGATAACAAGGGAAACTGGTTATCTTAAAATCCATATAATGACAAGTCTCTCCCAAAGAGAAACAGAATACATAAACTGTTTTGCCTTTGGCAGACCACTGGGAGAAGTGATCACCACATAAGTGGGCCAAGAAGATATCAGCTAAACTTTTAATAAATTCTTAAACATCTAGAGTAGATTAGTGTTAACAGTTTGGAATAACTCAGAGGCCAGGGACAAAAGGAGTCTGAGATAACTTGCAACTCAATCCCTATGCCAGTGCCACACTGTTTTGATTACTGTAGCTTTATAGTACTGTTTGAAATCAAGAAGCTTACTATAAAGCCTGAGTCCTCCAACTTCGTTCTTTTCAAAATCACTTTTGATTATTTAGGGCACTTTGCATTTCCACAGATTTTCAGGATCTGCCTGTCAATTTCTGCAAAAAATTTTCTGCCAACCAGCAGCTGGGATTCCACTGAATATGTAAATCAACTTAGGAAATATGTGAACAATATTAAGTTCTCCAGAAGATAAACATGGGGTGTCTTCCCATTTCTCTAAGTCCTTAATTTCTTCCAACAATGTTTTACAGTTTTCAGAGTATAAGTTTTATATCTCTTTTGTTAAATGTATTCTAAATGTTTTATTCTTTTTGAGGTTATTGTAAAATTGTTTTCTTCATCTTCTGCATTGACTTTGAGTTACTTTCCAAAACCCGAACAAAACAAGGAACTGCATGTTTGTACATTTATAAACTGGGGCTAAATAATACATTGTGAAAGATACAATGTAAATCACAAAATATCTTAGAAATATAAATCCTAAGAAATGTTATAGGCCAGGCGTAGTGGCACGGACCTGTAATCCCAGCACTTTGGGAGGCCCAGGCAGGCAAATTGCTTGAGTTCAAGACCAGCCTGGGCAACATGGCAACATGGAAAAACCCTGCCTCTACAAAAATTACAAAACATTAGCCGAATGTGGTGGCACACACCTGTAATCCCAGCTACTCGGAGTGGGAGTGCTGAGGCTGGAGGATAGCTTGAGTCCGGGAGGTCGAGGCTGCAGTGAGCCAAGACTGTACCCTACACTCCAGCCTGGGTTACAGAGCAAGACTTTGTATCAAAAAAAAAGGGGGGGGTGTATAAAAAGGAAAGAAACGACAGGATAGTCTGGTAAGAAAATTTGATTATGCTCCTTTGCTCTAACCTAGTCAGCAAAGCTAAACTTGTATACTTATATTTCATTTCTGAGGTACCTATTAAACATCTGGCTTCTGACACTGATTAAAAACTGTTAATAATAGCAAAAACCATAATTCTTATTCTACATTTCATGAAACAAATGAAGGCTACGAGTTACATACTTCTGATCAGTTCTTCCTCTATCACTCAGAATCCACTATCACTAGAGATTCCTAACTTTTCCTAGAGGAGGAAGAACTTCATTTCCCCCAGGGTACTGATATTATTGGGATCAGCTCACATTTCCTCAGTAACACATTTTTTTGTGTGGAGGTAGGATATCATACTGTTAATAGAACTTTCTCTCCTAAGAATCTCAGCAAAACATGCAAGAGAACTTGACAGAAAGAAGGAGAGGATATGTGGCATAAAAGGGAGAAAGTGTCAAAGAGAGGATAATATGGGATGAAGATGGAAGTGAGGCAGAGAAAGACTGTGAAGAGGGATGGGGAGATAGGACCACTGACACAGAGCGATGAGACACGGCAGTATGGAAAGCTTTAAGAAAAAGCTCTACAATCTGATGTACTGATTATGCACTTTTGCAGTAGGCCTGGATTATCCAATACAGTAGCTGCCTGTCACATGTGGCTATGTAATAAGTAAAATGTGGCTGGTTCAAATTGAGATATGCTATAAGTATAAAATACCCCTTAGATTTCAAGACTTAATACAAAAAGAAATATCTCATTAATAATTGTTAATACTGATTACATGTTGAAATATTTTGAACATACTAGTTTAAAATATATTATTAATTTTACCTGTTATTACTTTTCTAATATGGCTACTAGAAAATTCAAAATTATACATGTGGTTCACATTTGTGACTTGCATTGTATTTCTACTGTAGACAACAGAAACATTTACCTTAAGAATCACATGTATTTGGGCAATCCCTCCTAGAGTCAATGTCAAACCTTCATAATATTTTTTATTAGGGCTAAGAATGTCTGATACAGCAAAAACAGAGGGTAGAGGTTTAGAATTTCATTCATTCTGATCTATCTATTATAGACCAAGGGAAACTTTACAAATGATTCAGAGAAAACAATTTTGAGTTATGAATCACAAATATTTTTAGGATTTTAAATAGTGGTCTGTGTTGCTATTTATAAAGCATAAATGATATGTGAGTATTCCTTCATATGCACAACCAGCTTCCATAAAACCATTCAACTAAATCAAAATTAACTTCCTGAAATAGAGGGTTTGAAGACACTTAGGGCCTAGCAGTCTGGTCTTGAAAACAAGTCTATAAACTATTACCCAACTAGTAATGATGTTATTGCCCCGATGCCTATTTGCAGAGGGATAAAAGGATAGGGGAAAGAGCACAAGGTCAACAAGGCATGCATCACTGAGTTTTTATTTTTTGTATTCCGTTTATTTAATACTTAGTTCTTCAATATATAAAAGGAAAATACAAGAAGTTCTGAAGTCACATGCCAATTATTCCCCACAGACAAAATTTATTTATATATATTCATATATGCATGCTACATTATGCCCTCCCTAGCTGCTGCCACTGGCACCCACACACACCATGAGGGGAACCTGAAAGCAGACCTGCCCATCTGTCACTCGTGCACACCTTCCTGGGGCCTAAGGATGAGCCTACACAGCTTTCCACTGCTACAACAACGAATGGCACCCAAGCACGCTGTCTGAGGGCTAGGGATTAGCCTATCCCACTCGCCACAGCCTGCACTCAAGTGCACCATCAGGGAGCCTGGAGAATGACCCACCCCAACCCCCCACCTGCATAAGCATTCTGCGTGCTGCTTGGGAGCCAGAGGGATAGCCCACTGCTGCTCCTACCATCACCAAAACACATTGCCCAGGGGCTCAAGGACCCATCTGCTCACCCAGCACACTGCTGCCACTGCTGGCACCAAAGTAAACTGCCTGGAGGCCTAAGGATCAGCCTGTCCAGACTCACTACCTTTGGTGCACAGAACGCTGCCTGAAGCCCTAAGGATCAGCACACTCAGCCTGCTGTTGTCCAAGGACTGGCCTCTACCTGGTGTCCTCATCCCCAACAAAGTTCTACTACAGCTTCCACTAACCACCACAGCCTAAGCCATTGAGAAGCTCACAGACACAAATGACACTGATTACAGCCCAAGAAATCATACAGAAACTATGCTACTGTACCCACCCAGAATCAAAACCAAAGGGCTGGACCCAACCAAAAGAATAGATATATCTATAGGAAAAAGTATTTTCCCTATGAAAGCCAATCCATAAAATTTGAAGAAGTGACTATTATACTAGATGCACAGATACCAATGAAAGAACACAAGAAACATACAAAGGCAAGGAAACATAACACTTCCAAAAGAACACAGTAATTATTCACCAACATTCCAATGAAAAAGAAATCTATGAAATGCCTGACA